CTTCCCTTTATAAATGAGAAAATAAGAGGGAAGTTGATAGTTTAAAATGGAAGCGTTCGATGTAAACGGGAATAAAATATAAGCATGCAAACTGCCCGGGGAAAAAGTTACAATCACAGAATTAATATTTGCTCAGAAATTTCCAAAGCTCATTTTGTTGTTGCTTCCGCTTAATTAAAGCAACATAAAGGCATGTGTGGGAGCGATAGACACACAAGTAGCTCTGCCTTTGCAAAGAAAACAGCTTCAGCTTGCTGTCTTCGCCCATTCTTAACCTCCCCCTTTCCTCCGGTTTGCTCTGCCAACCTGTCTCTCCCCCTACGCTGATGATGTCAGATACATGAAACCGTTGCTAGGGGGACCCCTCCTGTGCAGAACAGGCAATGTAAAGCTCCCCCACTGCTTTGCGGAACTTGTGACCTTACCTAGTGGTATTTAAAGGAAACAAAAGCCACATGTAAGATCTCAATCCACTTACTAGCTCTTGTAGTAATAGATACGTTGTCAGGCCCTGACAAGCAATTAAGTTTCAAGTTCTAAAAGCTCCATAGCAATGTGCAGAAGGAAACAAGAGAGACGTGCAGCCAGAGATTTAGCAGGGTAGTTCAAATAAGTACATGTTTCCAGCTTTGTCACTCTGAAGTAGGACCGCAGCAGAGAGGTGACTCAAGATCCCCTCCTCAGGCCACAACAGGCTGCTGGCACATCCTTCCAGCCGTCCTCCAGAGCCGCTTGGACTTCCTGCAGATTTCCTCAGAGCAGTCCAGTCCTGCCATATCCTTTTCTCTTTCTGTCAGGCTTGGCTATTGGAGGTGGAGGAATGCAAGTAGACAGGAAGGCAAGGTGACAGCTGGGCCATCAGAAAAGAGACAGGATTAAGGGATGCGGGAGGAAATATGAGAGAAGAAAAGGAGTGTGGGATGGCAGCTGGAGTTCTTGTCCCACACCCCAAAAAATTACTCTTCCCCCCACTCGTGAAATATTAACGGTAATCAACTAATGTTCTAGGATATGGGCAACAATTTTCACCTCTTGTATAAATGTAGTGTTGCCATTTCCAGTGTATTTGTGTCTGTGGCTGTTGTTGAGTATGAGAAAGTATGTTGTATGCCTGACAGTGCAAACCTGTACATATCCACTCCAAAGTAAGCCCCACTGAGTTTGTTAGCGCTTAACGGTAAAGGGACCCCTGACAATTAAGTCCAGTAGTGGACGACTCTGGGGTTTCGGCGCTCATCTCGCTTTACTGGCTGAGGGAGCCGGCGTTTGTCCACAGACAGTTTTTCCGGGGTCATGTGACCAGCATGATTAAGCGGCTTCTGGTGAAACCAGAGCAGCGCACGAAAATGCCGCTTACCTTCCTGCCACAGTGGTACCTATTTATCTACTTGCACTGGCATGCTTTCGGGCTGCTAGGTTGGCAGGAGCAGGGACCTAGCAAAGGGAGCTCAGCCCGTCACGGGGATTCAAACCGCCGACCTTCTGATCGGCAAGCCCTAGGCTCAGTGTTGTAGACCACAGCGCCACCCGTGTCCCAACCTCATTGGCGCTTACTTCCAGGTAAATTTATATAAGGCTGAAGCCTAATTCACAGGTCTTCAACCTTTTCAAACCTGGATTTTTTCACCCTCAGCTGGTGATGTGTAACCCAGTTATAGTCATTTTTAACCATCTATATTAGACTATCTTGTCTTCTGTTTTTCTCCCTTTCTCTTCTTCAAAACCACCCTAAGCAAATAAGAAGGCAGGAAATGGTGGTGGTGCTATTAGAAGAACCCATCATCATGCACCATCAGCATCAGTTGTTGCTTCACCCATGCAACTGGGCCTTTCTCCCCCTACCCCTTAAATCTACTTCCATCAACACCAGTTAACATGGTCAATATTCAGGGATTATCAGAGTTGTAGTCCAAAGCATCTGGAGAGCACCCCACTGACTACCCAATTCAGGACAGGCCCAAGACATTTTACTACCTGTGGAATGCCCTGCCATCAGATGTCAAGGAAATAAGCAACTATCTTACTTTTAAAAGACATCTGAAGGCAGCCCTGTTTAGGGAAGTGTTTAATGTTTAATGCTGTATTGTGTTTTTAATATTTGGTTGGGAGCTGCCCAGAGTGGCTGGGGAAACCCAGCCAGATGGGTGGAGTATAAATAGTAAATTATTATTATTATTATTATTATTATTATTATTATTATTATACCTGAGGGAAAGGACAAGATAGCACCCCTCCTCACATTCAGAAGTTGACCAAAGTGGCAGACAAACGTTACTTCAACACTGATGGTGGAGTAACATTCTCCCCCCATATCTGGGGGCAGTAGAATAACGGGCAGGGTGGGGTGCAGAGCAGACATGCAGCTGCCCTCCAACACCTTACTGCTGCTCCCTTCACCCATACTCCTCTGCTTGAGGTGGCCACTTCACTCTGCCTAATGACAGGGTCGGCCCTGGCCATAACCAAAATGGCAAAACAGTTTGTGCCCTCTCAGCTGAATGTATGTACCGTATCTTTCGTGGCATGCTATTGATAAAAGTTGGGTTTACAGCTATGAAACCAAACACCCTTCAGGATTAACAGCAGTAAAGGTTCATGTCATTTGAGTGTATAAGCCCAGAAGTTATTTTCCATCTGCTTCATACTGTTGGAGAGTTTTTAAGGTTGCATGGCTTGAAATCTCAACTCTCCCCTCTTTCTTTTCTGCAGCACAAAAAGAGAAATCCAAGCAGGGAAGGAACGTTTTCTAACATTCAGAGGCACAGGGAGAATTTCACCAGCTTGGCAGCCGCCTTGGATTTGCTCTGCCCTTTTGGAAGAATTGCACAGGGAGAGTAATACAATCTTGCTGCAAAGGATAAAGCAGGCACAATTGAAAAACTGACTCTCACATCCCAGCCGAAAGAGAGTCTGGAATCAGAATTGTTGGTTTGTGAGCACACTCAAAAGCATCTGTAAAGATAGCACACATATTCAATTTCAGCTCCTTGTCAGCTCAAATCGTCCCAGCTATCTTCCAGCTGAACAGCAAAGCCCTTTCAGTCTTCCCAACCAGGTGTTCCTGAGCTGTATCTCGCTGTCCTAGAAAGATGAGAATGTAACACCAAATAGACTAGAATTCATGATGCACTGGACCTGTAAACCTCCCTATGACCTTTGGATGAAGGGCGGTACAGTGGTACCTCGGGTTACATATGCTTCAGGTTACATACGCTTCAGGTTACAGACTCCGCTAACCCAGAAATAGTACCTTGGGTTAAGAACTTTGCTTCAGGATGAGAACAGAAATTGTGCTCCGGTGGCATGGCGGCAGCAGGAGGCCCCATTAGCTAAAGTGGTGCTTCAGGTTAAGAACAGTTTCAGGTTGAGAACAGACCTCCGGAATGAATTAAGTACTTAACCCGAGGTACCACTGTATATGAATTTAATAAATAATAACAAATTACATTTACCAGCCACTCTTTAATATCACATTGTAGGCATCAACAACCAAAAAGACAGTGGACTTAGGTTCACATCTTCCTTCTTCTTTTAAGCTTTACACTGCAGAGGTGAGAAACATGCAGCTTGACCAGAGAATCCTATGTGTGAGAATATGTTTGTTCTTATTTCTCCATGGCGCTGTTTCGGCTCCAAACATGTCACCACTCACCATCTGAGTTTGCTTTTAGAGCAGGGATGGTGAACTGCTTCCAGCTGGTGGGCAAGATGCCTTGGTCCTAGCCCCCAGCCCCGTGGGTCTTTCTGACAGGTTGGCAGGCTTGGCAATCACCCAGTGTGAAGCATTTCCCTTTGCCTGCATGGTTTGAAACTGAACTGTGTGTGCAAAGGCATAGCGCTTTGAAAGTGCTGGAAAATCAGCTGATCACCAGTGCTTGCAAAGCCTTTTCAGCAGAGAGCTTGTGTCCTTACCTGCCCCACGCCTGATGACACATAAGGTGTCGGGTGTATGGCAGGTAGATGTGGTTTGGCCAAAATGCCTCCTTGTGGACTAGGGCTGGGCAGTATCTGGTTTTCAACATCACAATATATCACCAGCTAAACACTGTGATATACCGATATATCACGATACCAGTATATCATGATACAGTGGTACCTCGCAAGACGAATGCCTCTCAAGACGAAAAACTCGCAAGACGAAAGAGTTTTTCGTTTTTTGAGTTGCTTCGCGAGACGAATTTCGCTATGGGCTTGCTTCGCAAGACGGAAACGTCTTGCAAGTTTGTTTCCTTTTTCTTAAAACCGTTACAGTAATACAGGGTGCATTGCTTGAAGAGGTGCAGTTGCGACTTGACTTCGGGGAGCAACTCATAGTACGCGGTGTGGTAGCCTTTTTTGAGGTTTTTGAAGATTTTTTGAAAAAAATGAAACCGTGCTTCGCAAGACGAAAAAACTCGCAAGACGAAAAAACTCGCAGAACAAATTAATTTCGTCTTGCGAGGCACCACTGTATTTGAAATAAGGATGGATAGAGGCATTGGCTGGCTTCATGGTTTTTCCCGTATTGTGATTTTTGCATAGTACATACATGCACACACGATTCACAATATATTGCCAGGTCAAAAATTATGAAACCAGCATCACAATATGGACTTCAAACCAGTTTTGGGTGATATATTGCCCAGCCCTAGTGTGGACCAAATGAAGACATCTGCCAGGCCTATTTAGGTCTATGGGCTGGAGATTATCTAGCATTGTATGGGGAGGGGGTGATGATGACTTCTATCCTTGCAAAATGTTCAGGCAAGACTAGCAGTTGTCTTCCCAGTATAATGGATTTACATTAAAATTCATAGCAACATAATGAAGTCTTGACATTGAGCACAACTTTCTCATGAGAAAACACAAAAACAATGTATGACATGCTTTTAAAAAGAAAGAAAAAGAACAACACTGGCCAACTGCAAACCTCCAGCAGGGAGCCTTTTCTTTCTGCTTGTATTTATTCCAGTCCAGCATACGCCAAGGTAGTACAGAAAAAGCTTTTATGGAAATTCTTGCCTGCGCATTTGAGAAACAAGCTGTTAACGAATCACACTTGCTCTGCATGTAGTTCGCTCGAGTTGTGCACTGTGTCAGAAGCGTCTGCGTTAGTTAATCTGTAAAAACTGGCAGCGGCCACATGATCACAGAAGAAATGCATCCAGCCTTTTCCAGTGGGGATGCCAAGGCTTACAAAGCACCAAACCAGCTTATGGAAACACCGTACAATGTCCTAGATGCTCTCCCTGCTACGGAAAATAACGTAAGCCTGCGGGGTGGTGGGAGAGAGACCTAACAGTTACAAAAATATTATTTTAAGTATATTGGTCAAGTGTTGAAAACTGGACGGAATGTGCTGGAAAACAGGTCAAGTGTTCAAAAGTAGTCGGACTCGTGATGGCACAATTTGGCGGCAGTCCTGCATCCAATTAGTCATGTGTTAACAGTCTTTTTGTTAACAGTCTCCTAGGACTGAAAGTGGTGGGGGCGGGGGGATTTAAATTGTTTTTCTCTTCCTATCCCACAGTAATTTTCACAGTCATTACATAGTTGCCTGATAAAGAGCTTTAAGTGGTCTAACACACAGCGTTCGTCTGGCAGAATTGTTGAAAGGGCTTGTCTTGATTCCCTGAAGTAGCCTAACCTGCAATGAACTACATGATCACCACATTATTTTAATAATAATAATAATAATAATAATAATAATAATAATAATAATAATAAATTCTGATAAATGTATCGGTGATCCACTCACATCAAGCCAGGCATTGCTGCATCATGCAAAGAGCACATTTTCAACCCATTTCTTAATGTTTGTGTCAGTACACAGACCTGTGGCACAGCTGTAACACAACTTCTCTTTCATATGACTTTGCACTAAGTGTCCTGCGAGTGGGACACAGTTCTCTTAATGTGCTTTTGTAGCTGTATCAAATTGACAGGGGAGACATTGAAAATAAGCCACTCATGAGCTGAAGACCCACTGGTACTGAGAGCAATTCCCCTGTCTGCTAACCAAAAACACGAGAGAGACACCCTTTCCTTGAGAATAAGGAGAGTATTTGTTAAAAAGGGTTGAAATTGTATCAGGTGTTTATTTACAAGGGAGCTCATTGTGCATAAAATGCTCATTAGGGATTGCACAGGGCTTTTGTTCATTAAACAGGTACGATTACCATCATTTCCATTCTATTTAATGAGAGCTTTTGTAGTTCAAATATTGGGTCGTTCCTTTCCCAGCTATTCCTGTGAACGTCTTCATGGAGTAAACAGGATTTGTATACAACAGTGCTGAGGCTCTAAATGGATTTAGCGTAATTGTTCAGTCAGACTCCCAGTTACTGCTAATGTGCGACAGAAAACCCGACTGTATATCCATTTAACCAACATAGTGTTGAAATTAAAAGCACCGCAGGACTGATTGGGGGTCTGCGCATGAGAAAATGGCCAAGCAGGAAATCAGTTTAGAAGTGTCCCATATGTTACCGGCAAAGTCAATCATCTGGGTATGATTACGCAGGCATCACATAAAGGAAACTGCATTAAATGGCTAGTAATTAAGTCCAGATTATGGCCCTGAAAACACTCACTCATACACTTAGCTTTGAATTCAAGGAGGCTGCAGTTTTAACCCGGTTGCAGGATTAGAGCCTTACATATGTTTTGGAGCTCCATGAAATTGTGGAAATGGAAACTTTGCTTGTAAACGTTTTCATCCAAGATGCTTAATAATGCTTTTTTCTTTTCTTTTCTTTTCTTTTTTTTGTATGTGTGTGTGGGAGTTATGCATAAATGCTTTGTGAAGACATACAGGAAATCCATTACATGGCAGGAAAGGAGCCGTGTTGTGAAATGCTGAAGAGAAAAGAATTCTGCAGATGAAATGATTGCACCGACTTCCTGATTTTTGATCCAGCTGCCCAATTAAAAGAAACTGCCCCTGGAGGATAGGCCGAAATGGTATGGGCTAGCTTATTCTTTACTAAACCTTTATAACAACGCTGCATGAGGCCGGGCGATGTTCCGGAAATCACGTTTCATCATTTGTTCCACTGAAGTGTGCAACAGGGTGTGGCTGACTGTTACCAAGGCGTTTTAAACTTATCCAATACAGTGGTACCTCGGGTTAAGTACTTAATTCATTCCGGAGGTCTGTTCTTAACCTGAAACTGCTCTTAACCTGAAGCACCACTTTAGCTAATGGGGCCTCCTGCTGCTGCTGTGCCGCCGGAGCACGATTTCTGTTCTCAACCTGAAGCAAAGTTCTTAACCTGAAGCACTATTTCTGGGTTATCGGAGTCTGAAACCTGAAGCGTATGCAACCCGAGGTACCACTGTATACTTCAAGCACATATATTACAGCCTAACTATACATGACCTCAACAGGGTAGTTCTGCCTTTGAGATTCAGGGCTTTGACCAGTGTGGAGGGTCTGGTCCAAATCATAACTGCAGCAAAGGATGGAAGGTTAAATCCACCTTATCTCCCACAGTAGGGTCCCAGTCTGGATCATTTTCCCCATACTAGCTATTTCTGGCCCCTCCAAAAGCCTACACCCAAGGACAGAACTATGCAGTTAAGGTCACCTATAGCTATTTTTATGATACAGATTCAACCTTTCTTTGGCTCTCATGCTTGACACTGGGAAACTTTTGGGGGTGGGGATAATCCAGCCAGTCCTCTACACATGCCATTATACAGGTAGTCCACCCCCCTCTGCCCCACAGCGTGTAGCAATTCAGAGCGCAAGAAGACCATCTAATGTGTAATGGATGGATTTTCCCCAAAATTGATTTTTGAATTCTGAATTTATTGTTACAGTGGTACCTCGGGTTAAGTACTTAATTCGTTCCGGAGGTCCATTCTTAACCTGAATCTGTTCTTAACCTGAAGCACCACTTTAGCTAATGGGGCCTCCCGCTGCTGCCGCACTGCTGGAGCACAAATTCTGTTCTCATCCTGAAGCAAAGTTCTTAACCCGAGGTACTATTTCTGGGTTAGCGGAGTCTGTAACCTGAAGCGTCTGTAACCTGAAGCGTCTGTAACCTGAAGCGTATATAACCCGAGGTACCACTGTATTCATGTTTTATACTGTAGTTTATGCCTTTTTTGTTGCATCAATTGCTTTAAATTTGTTGTTAGCCGCCCTGAACCCGGTTTTCCGGGCAGGGTATAATAAAATTATTATTATTATTATTATTATTATTATTATTTAAGGGAAACTGGGTTAGGTGATAAGGGACTCCTGAACTGGACTGAATTGTCCCCAAATATCATCTACAGCAGTGACCAGAGGAGGAATGACTGCCAGGAGGAGTGCCGAGAGAAGAAACGCCATGGTGCATCTGCAGCAGCACAACTGGATGCCTTCATATGCCCCCAGCTGCAACAAAACATGCCTCTCCCACATCGGTTTCTACAACCACAGCAAGCGCTGCAACCTGCCAATCGTTTGACCTCATCCCTTGTCTCCCAAGGCAGAAGGATGCCATCTATTATTCTTATACCTAGCCAATAATTTCTCCCTTTCATCAAAACAGTTCCTAAGACCATTTTATATTTACTCTCACTTTTCTTTTTAATTAATAAGTTGGGGAGGGGGAGAGGAAAAGTGAAATCTGATCAGCAAAGAGCAGCAAACTTAACTGCTCAGTCCTTCCATTGCTGGCTCCAAAAAGTATAGGACCAAATCAAGATATTTCCAGATTAGAAATAAGTGCAGTTTTTAAAAAATAAAAATATTTACCAGTTTTAAGAGACCCCAACCCTGCAGTTCCGACCAATTTTAAAGAAAAACCCATATATCTAAACATTTCACAGCCATGACCATTTTTAAGTGTATAATGGTGTTTTTTTAGTGCGATATTTCACACCACTTAAATGATGCCTTTTATTATAGGATCTCCTGCTTCCGTTGGAAATAGTAAATTTTAACGTTAACATTTTGCAAGGAACGATCATGCATTTTAATAGACTCTATGGGCCTTTTCTGAAGTAAAGTTGTTACTTGCTTTAAGCAGCTGTCCCTGGGATAAAGGTCAAATATTCGCTGAATGATAATCCTTAAAAAATATATATTAAGCACATGGTGAAGATTCCAATGGAGCCCTGTTTCACATACAACCTCCTTCCGGCAGCATGAGAGGGCATTAGCAGGAATGAAATGTCCCTGCAAGTCTCCCAATTCCTCATCCATCCCTCCTGCATCCATACAAGCTGCTTCTATGCCCAAGTCACTTGAATTGGGCAGAGGGGAAACATGGGAAGGGTACATGGGATGGGTGCTGTAAACTGTAATGCCCACTTGTTGTGTGAACATTTATGGGGAGTGGAAGGTGGGAAAACAGAGCCCCACTGGGTCCATTGGAAACTTCCATGGGTGGATGTGCTGCCTGAAGTCAAAGTACCCCATAATACACGATCTGTTTGTATGTTTCTCCCAGCTAATATGAAACACATCAGTGCAGTAAATTAATCTGCATGTGTTTATAAAATAAATGCACCTTTTAAATATTTCACGGTTGGAAGGCTTAACTCAGAAGATGAAAGACAAAATGCATTTCAGAGCATCTGAGAGCAATTGTGGCATCTGCAGGGTGGAGATTTGAGCAGAAAACCGGGTAGCTACAAAGAGCGTTACTGAATGCTATTGGATCAGTCATAGTCCATAGACTTTTCAACCTTTCTGAGTCCACAGCTCCCATTCTTTCTGTGGCTCCCCTGTGGGGAAATGTGCTCCAAGCCTCAGAAGCCCAGTTATGTCAACCCTTGCCTGCAGAGCCAGCAGCCCCTCACCTCTTTTTGAACACCCTCCTCTCCTCTGGCCAGGCACCATTTGCCTGGGGAATATGTAGCTGCTGCAACAAACAGCTGTGGAAGCCTTTGAGAGGCAGAGACATGAGAGGGCATCAGAGGAGGGAGGGAAGGAAAGAGGGACAGAGGCCAGTGTTGCCCATGGTACTCAAGCATCATTCAAGGCATCCCAGGGTGCCACGGCGCAATAGTTGAAAACCACTGGTGTAAACCTATCTGAGTGTTGTTGGAAGATGAAAAGGGTGGGCTGCTTCGTGAAGAAAGAATGGGATAAAAATCAGATAGATTGCAAAAGTAAGTGATTCACTTTTAATTTGGGATTAATTTCCATTGGGATTTATTTCCACATAAGCATGCATGAGCTTCATCTATTTGGCAAGAACACGTGCTGGAATAAGCTCCATAAAACTCAATGGCTAGGATCCAAAAAGCCAAGAAAATAGTTCTCCAAGCAGGGAGAGGCTTGGGGTTTGCTTTCCTCCAAAAGCAACCTGTCCCCCTTCCACCTGTATCAGGGCAAACTGTGTTTGGAACTGAAGGGGCTTTCAGCAGTAGTGGTTAGCTCTTCAAAGGACAGAAGGAAAACATTCGCTGGGCTAGTGTAAGCCTCTTGTGTAAGCCCAGGTGGGTTGTTGTTTTTTAGGCAAGCTTACAAAGCTTAGTCAAATTTTAAATTGACTGAAAATAATTGTTTTGATGCCAATCTATATAACATGGAAGCCAATATGCTGGGACTGCCTGCAAGCCTGAAGGCTGATATTCTTCTGAGAACATGCTGCCTGGCAAGCAATTACTCAGCATAAGATTTAGAATGAAAACAAACAAACCAAAAGTATATGGCCTCTCTGTACAAAATGAACTTGACAGGTGAATTATTAACTACAATAAATCAGTCTCGTTTGCAACCTAGGGTGCTGCCTGGGCAGAATGGAAATCACCTTGTCTAAGCAAACTTCTCGTTTCCTTATGCGAACAATGGAAGAGCTATTTCTTGCAGAAGGATTCCGGACATCAAAGCGAAATATTTCAATTGTGTGCAAGAAGCTTCAAGTAAACCACATTTGGCTTTTCAGTGACTTGATTTGCAGTTAACAGCAGTGATCTGAAACGAACTTAAATCTCCCCTACAAAGAATTTACAGGTATGTTCATTCATGCCAATTTGCCAACATTTGAATGAATGAGTTACAATACAAAACCATGATTGAAAGCCAGCAGTTATGTTAAAACCAAAATTGATAATTATGATGTGTCATATATATATATATATATATATATATGCACAACTTTACAAAAAAAAGAAGCAAAATTCAAATTTGAATTGATGCATTGATTTGTTTGTTTTAGTTAACCTCTAAACCCAAAATGTACATATAGGAGGCTTTCTACTCCCACTATGTACATATGGGAGACATTTAACTTTTTAAAAACCTTGAAATCTGGATTCTGTTAAATCACACACTGTGGATGCAACTTCCTAAGGCTGTACAACGCCATGTCTTCAATAAAGACTCCATTAAATGTTAAAAAGGGGGAAAGGAGGGAGGATACTGTGACCTGGCTCTATAGTCCACTGCTTCCAACACAAGAAGCATTGTTTCTTTCCCCTGTTAATCTTCCTAAAAGGTATACTCTCTGAATGGGGACTGCCAGCAGCTTTTCTTCTGGTAATTACTACGAGCATCCAAGAAAAGAAAGCCAAGAGGGCAGGGAGGCAAAAGAAAAAGAAAGATTCCCCTTTTCCAAAGATGCATATTTACAAAAAGAACCATTTCATAGCTGAAATTCCTTTGAAAGTTGCTGCTTTCCTGAATTTTATATATATGTATCTCCAAAATACTTCTAGACTGGAAAGTGGCACGGGCATTGCACAACAATTAATCTATTTTAGCAGCTTTGCAATGACTGCTTTGTATCTGTGCTGAGAGGTGAGCCGTTTCCTATGTGAACTATGCTAGAGAGCTCTGAGAGGCTACAGCCAGCTAGCCAACGCTTTAGGTGGGACACACCATCCCAATTCTCCATCCATAGTGGTGGATGCACGTGTTAATTTGGTAAACTTCTGACAGTGGCTTTCTGTTTGTTTCTTTCGGTGCAAAGAGGCTGTTACACACTTTTCGCCTTGGATTAGCCTCTGCAAGTTAAACTGCAGCCCCAATCACTACCACCACCAATGAAGGCTGGAGACCATGCACCTGCTCTGACCCTTCCCTTGGCAGAGGCCTGGTCCTGCCGATATTCATCAGAGCAAAGCACTGAGATAAACTCCAGCCGGCCTTCCCAGAGCTAGGTCAGTTCTCATAACGTCAGAGGACTTTCTGGCTCCCCCGTTTTCTCTTTCTCCGGCAGGGTAAGTACAAACGGGAGAAGGACCCCTTTAGTATCAAATGGGGCTTTGAGAAGTTCTGGCTCAAAGCTCCCCTTGAGTCCACCATCTGCTTCCACCTCGCCATTCTGGGACAGGGCAAAGCACAGCATTCCAGTCCGGTTGACACAGTAGATGGCGCTGCCCAAGGCGGCACAGCGGAACGGCTGCACCGGGTTGCCACCGGGGCGCAAGGAAGCACACTGACTCCAGTGCTTGGCCACCGAATTGTACCGGAAGACCTCCACCCCACCGGCCTGCCCCGGCTCCCCACGGCTGCTGCTCACGTCGAAGCGGTAGATGAAGTTCTTGTAGGACACCATGTCGGCGGAGCGTCGCCGGCTGCTGTTGTACGGGCACTCCTGCCACTCATCCCGCTTGGGGTCATACTTGAGCAGGCGGTAGAAGAGAGACCCGCCCGACACGTAGATCTCCCCGTTGCAGGTGGTGGCTTCGTGAGCCACGGCAAAAGCCCCTTTCGGCAGAGGAGCCACCGGGCTCCACCGATCCGCCCGGGGGTCGTACTTCTCCACCGTGAAGAGACACTCGCCGCCCACCGCGTAGAGATAGCCGTCGAGGGCCAGCAGCTTCAGCTGTGAGCGAGGCTGCCCCATGGGCTTCACCTGGCTCCAGGTGTCCGTCAAGGGGTTGTAGCAAAAGACCTTGTCGGAGAGCCTGGCGCGGGGTTCCCCTGGCCCTGTGGAGATGCCCCCAGCCAGGAAGAGGTAGTTGTAGAGCACGCACATGGCGCACCCCTTGGCGTTGGCCTCGTCGGGCAGCCGGGTCAGCACCCTCCACTCCTTGGCCACCTCGTGGTAGCTGTAGAGCAGGTAGCCACCGTCGTCCAGGGACACCACGGAGGAGGGGCTCTGCGGCCTGCTGCTCTCTCGGCTCTGCGGCCTGCTCCCGGCGTTGAGCCTCTCGAAGGCGTCGCTCACCTCGGCCACCAGCAGGCAGGGCTTGCCGGCGTCGAGGCGGCGCTGCAGGATCAGGTCCCTCTCGGCGCCGCTGAGGCGCCCGTAGACGGCGGGCTCGCGCAGCACCTGCAGGTAGTGGTCGCTCATGAAGCGGTAGGCGGCTTCGCGCAGCTCGGCCAGCCGCTGCTTCTTGGCCAGGCCCAGCAGCTGCAGGCAGTTGTCGAGGCGCAGCTGCGCCCTCATGGCCTCGGCGGCGCAGTGCAGGGCGCACGGCATCTGCAGCACCCGCGCGCCGCTCACCACCTCGGCCAGGTTGTCGTGGCGCACGTCGCCCATGCGCGCCGTGTACACGTAGTCGAGTAGCAGGCGCAGCGCCGCGTAGCTCACGCCCTTGACGCGCAGGATGTCCCTGGACGAGCGCGCGCGGAAGTAGTCGCTCTTGGCCGCCAGCACCGCCTTGTGCGCGCGGATTCGACGGCCCGACACCTCGATCACCAGGTCGGGCTCTTCCTCCGGCTGCGTCCCCCCCGGCGGAGAGGCGCACGGGTCCTGAAGGAGCGCTTCGCCGACGGCCTGCGCGGGAGCCGGAGGGGACGACGGCTGCTGCTGCGACGACGAAGGCTGGCTGCTGCTGCTGCTGCTATCCCCTCCACCTTCCTCCTCCTCCGACTCGGACGCCGCGTTGTTGATCTCCCACTGGCTTTGCACCACGCGGCTGCCTCCGCCGCTGCCCGCCGACGACGGCGAGGAGGCTGCGTCGTGCTCGGGTGCCGGGGCTTTGTCTCCGGGAGAGCTGAAGCACAGCGAGGAGCTGAAGCCGCAGGGCGCGGGCGATTCGGCGCTGGTTCCGCCGCTGCCGAGGATGCCGTCCTCGCCGTCTGCCGCAGCGCGCCGCTCCATCGGGGCGGACGGCGGGCTGCTCCTCACCGCCGCTTGCTCGCCACCGGCAGCTTTCCTCGGCGACGCTAGCTGCGCGGGCTGCGCCATCTCCATCTCCCCGCAGCGCGCCTCGACCTCGCCGACAGTCCCATTCTCACCTGGGGGAAGGACACAAGACAGCGCTGAGTTCTCCATCGGCCCTTGGAGGGCTCTCGCCTGCCTGCCAGCCACCCCCCCTCTCTCTTTCTCTGTCTCCTGCTTCTCTTGCCCTCCCTCGCAGGCACCTCCTTTTCCTCCCACTGCCTCCCCTCGTGCTGCCTGGCAGCTCTGGAGGCGACTGTGGACGCTCGCTTTTGCTCAGCTCTTAGCTTGGGTTGGGTTTTTGTTGGTTTTTTCCCTTCCCCTTGGCGCTTGTTCAATTTCCGCACTAGTTTCCCAGCCGTCGGGCTTCTCTCAGCAGCTAGAGAGCCGCTCACCGCTGAACTTTTGAACTGCCGAAGGGTGTATATAGTTCAGCTCGCGCTGTTTGATCAGGTCACAATATCCCTGAGTGGCATTGCAAAGCCTACATACAGTATAATAAATTATCGCACGTCCTAGGGAGGTGGGGCCGGAAGATCTGTGCAGGGGATTTCCGGATACCCAGCTCCCATTCTTCCAAAGTCATTTTATGGCATCCTCAAGATGGCTTTATATCTTCTCAGTAAATCACATCGTTCTGCAGTGGATCAGAAGTGGTTATCCACTTTCCTCATTTCCAACCCTTCCCCTGAATATTTCTGTAAGCCTGTCTACCCTATTAGCAAAGTCTTGTTCTCACCCTGTCAAGCCAAACTTAACATTCTGCACCAAGGCAAATTTAACCTCTGGAGATTATGCAATCTAGGCAGAGCTTTGTGTGTTTACATGATTTCTTCCTCCAAGTTCTTACACTCCATGCTCTGAGCCAGCTTTTAGATTTCACCAGGTTATCACCCTTACTTTCAAACTGATCTGTATAACCTTGAGAACTGAAAACTTGCTGCTTTAGAAATGGAAGCATTATACCTGTTTTCAATTGATGCTCTGGTTAACAAAATCTACACCATCCTCCCTTTAACATTTCTAAGGGCTATTTCTGCACAGAAGTACAGTAATAATCTGATGGTCATGGGCCTACTCAGAAGTAGCCTGAGTTCACCAGGATTTACTTCCAACTAAAGGTGCATCGGTTTGCGGTGAGATAGCTTCTTTGCCAGATCCTATCTGTTTTTACTGAGAAGTAAGTTTCATGAGTTTTGATGGTATCCGGCTTCTACATAAGCACACATTATTTTGCAGCCTTAATTGCACCGAGAAAACTGCAGACTTAAGCAGGAAAGCAATGAGTCCAGCAGGCAATTCATACAATATCAGTAGAGCACAAAGTTCAGTTCGGAGCCTGTGGAATGAGTTTGGTCACACACTGAAACAGTAATACCTCTTTAAATGCTTTGATGCATAACTAAGACTCCAATCTGTGTGTGGGGAGATTTGACTATACGATTTGCAATTTGGAAAGACTTCTGAGAACTGGTAGCTTGAGTGCCCAGCAAAGCTATTATGCAACTAAAATTCAGCCCACCTAAGACTGCACCATCTTCCAATCACTCTTGTATGTGGCCCTGCTTTTTGAAGGATGACCAGTAGCAAACAACACCAAACAGGAACCAGTGGTGGTGTAGTGGTGAGGACCTGGGAGACTAGGGTTCAAATCCCCACTCGTCCATGAAGCTCACTTGATGGCCTTGGACCAGCAACTGCCTCTCAGCCTAATCTACCTCCCAGGATTGTTGGGGGGATTAAATGAGGGGTGGTAGAACTATGGAAGCCACCAGGCTCCATGGAGCAAAAAAGGTGGGATATAAATGCAGCAAATGAATAGATAAAATAAATGTTGACATTGTAGTGCTGTATATGATCAGCCGCTACTATCCTCTCGATACTGCTGTATGTACATCAGCTGTGAATGGAAATAAAGCAAGGCATTCAGAAGAACCTATGGCACCACACACATTGTTGGGCACCAATTCACATCAGTCTGACCTTGAGTATTTTTCAAAGGTGATGCAAGAGTGGGCAGCCATCCATCAGGGAGGCTGTAGTTGCTCCGCTGCATCAAGCAGACCCTACATCAAGCAGAGTTGGACTTCTAAAGTTACCGTCTATCTCTGATGGCAAGACTGCACAGCCTTTAAGCAGGAACCGATTTAGCACTGGGTTATCAGTCTCCTATTTAAATTGTGGTTTGCCCATAGTATAAGCCTATGGAAAGATGGGTCTGTAAAGGCAGAATAATGCTATCTAAGGCTAGTCCATCCAACATGTCAACTAAGTGGCTAACTGATTAAATCATCTACTTGTGATTAAGAATCAAGGGACTCTGACTTCCCTCTGCAATAGTGCAGGATCCTTGTACACACGTACACACACAAAGGAAGGATAATTCTGCAGAATGCAGCTTTTGCAGACACTGCAGTAATGCAATGGGAAAAGCTGGACCTCATGATGGCCTGGTGATACAAATGTTTAGTTGGAACTATTGATCAGTTAATATTTGCTAATTGGTTGAAAGCTGAAACTTATAAGAAGAAGTTAATGGATGGTTCTGCTACCTGAAGCTCTTGTGATCGATGGCATCCTCAGTGCTCCTTCAATGGACTTGAGAATGTGGTCCTTTATTATAGTAATAATAATAATTATTGACTATCAGTGAGCATTGAATATCGTCATTCCAGAATATATTTCTGCAGTTATTTCAGTGGAATAAATTAATGGCAATACTGTACATTTTCAGAACATTTTAGGGGGAGATTCTGCATCAATTGGGTCAGCAGGCTGGCACGGGAATTTCCTTCAATCAGCGTCAAAAAGGTATTCCATTTCTCAACGATTCACTGTGCATCTTCCGTCCACCTATATGATAAAAACAGTTTTGGTTATCATTCAGTTTTAAAAACGAAACGATTCCACATGTATTTTGTCTGAATTGATTTCCCCAAAGTAAACTTTTATATCATTACTGTAGTTTAGTTTCCTTTAATGGTGGATTCCGTATCTCATAAGCTAAACCAACTTTCTTTTTCTAGGTGTTCCTTTAATACAGTATAGGACCCAAAACTGTTGTTTGTTTTAGAGTTTGCCTACTACCTACTGGAACAGAAGATTATAATGCTCCTATCCGCTAATTAGGAGTGTTCCATCCTACATATTTGGTGAAGCACATCTACTGGGCAATTAATCCAGCAGGCATGGATGTGGAGTTTACATTTCCACCCACATCAGAAGATGCATCCAGCCCATGCAATGGGACCAAGATGAATACTGCATTCAAACCTGTAAACCTAAATACAGCCCTTCTTTGAAGTATCACATAATAAGACTGTGATCCTCTGCTTACTTTCCCTGGAGGAGACTGACTGATTTCATAAAATTAAGGGCCAAACTAGACATGGCATTTTTCACATCATTTGCCCTTTTATAGTTGTTTAAAAGAAGAAACTGACATGGCTGGACCCCACGCTGGACTGCGATTATGGCCTGGCAGGAGAGGGGAGATAACCTTGTATCCCCCCCCCATCAGAATCTCCCCCATTTATGCAGTGGGAGGAAAGGTTCCATGAGAAGTGAAAGGAAGGATATCGATGTAAGAAAATAAATAATGGTTTGGTGCTGAGCTGAGACCAACAGTTAAGTTGGATACTCAAATCTGTTATCTAAAATTATAGCCCAGCATTAAAATACGCATATTGACAGTTTGCCTCGAATGGTATCCCAAGCATCTACAGTGGTACCTCGGGTACTACTTAATTCGTTCTTAACCTGAAGCACCACTTTAGCTAATGGGGCCTCCTGCTGCCTCCGTGCCACCGGAGCACGATTTCTGTTCTCATCCTGAAGCAAAGTTCTTAACCTGAAGCACTATTTCTGGCTTAGCGGAGTCTGTAACCTGAAGCGTATGTAACCCGAGGTACCACTGTATTTGCAAAAGCAAAAGCAGCAAATTTCAGCATTTGAGCCATAAGGATCCCAAGTTATTCAACTGACTTACAAATCTGGTTAGTTTAAAGAAGCAGTTCAGGGTGTTCTTTATCATGGTTTTAATCAATTGTCCAAAAATCATGGCACCTTGCAGGGTTGTTGTTTTTTATAGAATACCCAATAACTTCATAGCAGAGGTTGTAACTCACATTCACCAATTTTATCTATATTTTGCTTTCCATTCACATTTTTATTTGACATGTAAAACATGCAAGTCAGTTATCTTTTGTCAGCAGTGAATTTCATTTCAGGTGGTTTTGGTCTCATGGTTTTGTTTTCTTGCATCCACAGTTCATTTTTTAGGATTTTCTCAGTTTGCCTTCCTCACCAGAAAGAAAATCATTTTACTTGGAAAGTTTGTGGTCCAGGTTTGGCAGATGCTTTACTTTCCAAAAAGTCACTTTCATTTTTAATTTCCAAACTCAGTTTCCAGCCTAGGCTGTGCTTACGAAACAAGCCGATCCCACAAAGTCCTCTTCATCAAAGCTTTGCAAAAATGAGAAAAAAACTCTTAAGCAAGTACATGCAGGACTCCTAAAGCTTCTTAAATATAGAGCAAAACCTGAGCATGCACATGCATGCACACACCAAATCAAATCCAGCTTTAATGATTAGTTTGCATGATGTGCCCACAGAATCTTACTGCATACGTGGGGGAAAGCTTGTGGTACATTTCTGTTAAAGATGGAGAGCCTAGCCTGTCATCTGTGAAACATTTCATTTATTAAATAACTGAAGACTTAATGAATTTGTAGATTTTTGTTGTTGTTACTGCTGTTGATTTAGTCCGGGATGAATGGAAATGTCAGAAGACAGCGGACATGGGAACCTCCAGCAACCCTGAATTGTGCTGACAGTCTTGGCGGTGAGTCACTAGCAATATCCTGGACCTGTGCCCCCTCAGCGAGCAAACAGAGACTTAAAATTGGCAAAGAAAGTCTTGGCAATCATAAGCAGCCTTCTGAGATTGCATTTTGAGCAAGAGAAGTGTTGTTAATATACATACGGAAGGTCATATTTCCTAAGCACTTGCCTACCTATGCATTTATTCGCCACATGTTCCCCAGTTTTGCTTTTTCCTGTTAAAACAGTGTGGCCCTTTCACCAAACATCTCTCCACATTTCCCAGCCACACTTAGATGTGAATGTGCCAGGCCCAGCTCATTAGAATCAAAAAGTGTATAACCCTCTCATATAAGATGTTTGTGTCTCTTTGGTTTGAACGGAACTTTTTATATAGGAATCTGCCTTATACCAGATCAAGCTATCCATGTGACTCACTGTCTACTCTGATAAATGTCACTCCCATTAACTTTCATCCTTTTTAAAACTGGAGATGTCTGAGATTGGACATGGGATCTTCTTCTTGAGAAGCATGTGTTCCACCACAGAGCTATGGGTCCTCCCCAAATGGAATTTAAAGCTATCCAGGTCTGAAGAAATGGGTTTTTCTGCTTTGCTTATGGAAGCACTACCATAGTTTAGTCCCATAATGAAAACTGGACACATAAGAGCTGGAAGGGACCAATGCAGGAACATGCAACTGTTCCATGTTTGATCAGACCTGCAACCTTGGCATTATCATCACCACGCTGTCACGAACTGAGCTATCCAGACTGACTTACAGAAGGTTTATTCTCCAAGTCTAGTCTCAATTGTGTGGCCCATTAAAAACCTATAACTTTACAAAGGAGTGGCTCTCAAATGCTCTTGTCAACAAGACTGTGGATACGGGTTTGTAAGACTAATATTTGCTAAGATCTTACGTTTCCAGAAATGTTTTTAAATTATTGGATATAGCAAACTGTCCTTCATATAAACATAGAATAAAACAAACAAACAATGTCAAATAAAACAAAATTGAGAAGACCTTTTACAGCATAAAGGCACTGATTCAAAGGGCTGAATCCAGACATAGTCATGCTTAGAGTAAATAATGGTAATAATTCAAGGGTATACTCTAAGCAGGACTAAGTTTAGAGCCAACAGAAACAATTTTTAGTCCTGCTAATGTCAACATGAACAAGTTAAAGCATGTGCTGAACTCCCAATGAAACTGAGGGTGTTTCGTACCCGAAAAAGATGTTTTAGCTGAGTCAACATGAAAATGAAAAGCTGTATTTTCCTTTGTTTTTAAAAACTGCCCCATCACCAAACATTTTAGAGAAACTGCCTCATGGGAAATTTCAGGAAGGAAGGGTTTTTTATTTGGCTTAAGTAAAGCAGTGGTCAAAACAGCACTTTGAGCAATTTGACTTAACTACAGGATGTGTCTTAAAGAAATTGTGTCATTACATCTACTCTCAAAGTGCTTATTAAACTTCTTCATTATCCATAACTGGTCGTATTATTATACTCCCAGAGTGCTTGAGAAAAGTACATTTATTCCATCTCGTAAGTATGAATTTCTCCAAACAATCTCTATGACAACAAAAACTAAGCTCCCAGGAATAAATTTCCCTGATTAGGACCACACATGCATAACTACACATAGAATAAGTTCGGGGGGGGGGTGTAATCAGAGAACAAACAAGCTGCATAGCCCCCAAACCTCCTGAGTCCTGAGCCATCTTAGGCATGTCAAGGCATTTTATTACAAAGTAATGCCAGCCTATCATTGTTTGTAAGGTGAGAATTTAATTCAACCCCTGATCAGGTCCTTCTTTCTGAAAACACGATGGAACAAACCTCTCTCGAAAGGCAGGTCAAGCTGTGTGTCTTTGTTTCCTTCTGGAGAACTCTCATTTTCAAGCATGAGTTTAACAGCACTTCAGCCTTAAGCAGGCATTCAAATTACTTTTGCACAAACATTCGCATGAGGGAGAGGGCTGCCAAGCCCAGCCCTGCGCAGCACATCACTTCCATCCCATTTACAGCCTTCCATTAGTTTGAGGGCAACAGTTTGATGCAGGGAGCCTCCTCTAACCAAAAAGTCTCCTCGGGTGATTTAAAACAGTTAAATTGCATAGAAATAGAGAAGTCTCCACGATTCAGACTCGGGAGCATCTTTGGATGGTGGTGATGGGGCTGTACTGTACTTGGGGGGAAGACCCTTCTCTCTCCATTTTCTTTCTCTTTCTCTTCTGACTCCTGTGGCACCTCACTGTTCTCCTCGCTGGCTGCGTCATTTTCCCCTCTCTCCCTTCCCCTCCTACCCTCCTTACTTTCCTCTCTACCCTCTTGGTCACTCAGCTTTCTGTTCAGCTGCTCAGGTACCAACCCAAACCTTGGAAAACACCCAGAGCTGAAAGAGGAAGTGAGAAAAAGCACCACTCTTCCAACTTCAGCTGCTTCATCTCTATGTGTTTCAAGGGCGGACAAGGTAAACAGCCCTCGCCACCTCGTGACAAAGGGGACAGAGGGGTGATCAGAGGCTACACAAGCACCAGGGGAAGTGTTCAAAGGCGTTGGTGAGCCTCAGAGAACCCATGCATCCAGCCCACACTCTGTCCAAATGTTTGCTTCTAGTGTGCTGAACAGAAACATACATTGTCTCCCTCTCCCTGAACCCGGCATCTTGTAACTGGTCATAATAAGGTGCTGTTTGAACACTGGCATTTTCCAGTCAGCTAACCACCACTGAAGATGCTTCAGTATCCTTTAACTTAGCAGTCAATTACTCTAGCATGATGCAGCAGGATTTCACAGTGCGAAACCTTATCCACTAAACAGCTCAGCACTGACTTCAAAACCTAGCCAACATGAGCAGGCAGAATTTTTATTATGTTCTATCAACAGTGCAGATCAGGAGATTTTATCAGCTGACCTTAATAATAATTCAAGGATTTTGAAAAATGAAGGCAGAGCCAAGAGTCTCCCTTTCAGTTCTCCCTTTCTCCTTTATGACTGCCCAAATTTACCTTGTTAATTTTATTTTCTTTGTTGTTGTTTAGAATCATAGAATTGTATAGTTGGAAGGGACCCCGGAGACTCATCTGGTCCAACCCCTGCAATACAGGAATCTCAACAAGCGGTCTGCCATCCAATTTGAAACCATAGAGGACCCTGCTTAGCATTACAAATGTGCTAGCAGTTTTATTCCTGCATCACTTTCCATAGAAAAGTCAGGTCTGCAAGAAACAGACCCAGAAATCTTGTGGATTAACGGTGAGTGACTTAACACGGTGTAATCTTGGCACAACTCTAGCCAGGTACTGGGCCAAAAAAAGCAAACAAATTTATCATGGATTATCAGAGAAAGGCTGTCCTTGGCTGTTGGGGATGTCATGGCAATCAGAAAGAGAATTCAAAGCAATGGTTTAAAATATACTTGTCTGCAAAAACTGTACTGAACAGCCCATCTGCTGAGGAATGCAGTCAGTAGTAATGTCCAATTCTTTTGTTCCCAGGGAGGAACTAAATAGCCAAAAATAGGGATTTGGGGTATTTGTCATGGTTGGTCAATGAATTCAGGTTAGAGGTAGAATGAATAGATAGATAGATGCCCTCAGCCAGGATTGTGGAGATTTCCCTGAATAAATTCTATTTTTTTGCATCAAACTAGAGGAAGTCATTTATTTATTAAATTCATAACCCATCCTTTCTCCTCGAGAAGCTCAGCGAGGCAATGATGACTACTAGCCACTCTCTGACCCAGCTGGGCCATAGTAGATGCTGGACTTTTCAGTGGAACCTTGTTAGTACTTATCAGTTCTGCAAAGGTAAAGGTAAAGGGACCCCTGACCATTAGGTCCAGTCGTGACTGACTCAGGGGTTGCGGTGCTCATCTCACTTTATTGGCCAAGGGAGCCAGCGTACAGCTTCAGGGTCATGTGGCCAGCATGACTAAGACGCTTCTGGTGAACCAGAGCAGCGCATGGAAACACTGTTTACCTTCCAGCTGGAGCGGTACCTATTTATCTACTTGCACTTTGACGTGCTTTTGAACTGCTAGGTTGGCAGGAGCAGGGACCGAGCAACGGGAGCTCACCCCATCGCGGGGATTCGAACCGCGACCTTCTGATCAGCAAGCCCTAGGCTCAGTGGTTTAACCCACAGCGCCACCCGTGTCCCTTCAGTTCTGCAAAACTGATGATCAAATGTCAGTTCCAGTTTGGAGGGACGACTTCAGCAAGGACATGAGTTAAATTCATTCTCATAATCTGTGCCCTCCTGTTCACCACATTATAAGAACCAATGGCAGCAGAAATGAATATAAGAGTAACCATGCCATCTGGAAGCTTGATATGAAATGACTATGTGGACATCCATATTCATTTGAGATACAAGGGCTGGGGGGAGTCACAAAGAGGCAGAGAATTCTCCATCCCTTTGACACACGCATTCACACATTCCTGTGGATCCCTATCCATGCTACCTTCATGGCGATGCAGACCAAACTGCTCCACTGCCCATTCATATAGCAAACAGGTCACCATGAATCACAGCACATTGTGCTCCATAGACAGTGACATCACTCTGCCCAGGTCTATGCAAGCCCAGGCTGAACAGATAGCAGCAGCCTGTTCCATGAGGATTTCCACCAAAGAAAAGGATAGGTGGGACTGAAGGAGCCTAAGGCATTATTAGCATTCAACAAGCACTGTCTGGGGTGGAAAATTTCAGCCTCCCAAATATTACAGCTCCCATAATCTCCAACCACTGGCAAGGTTGGCTGAGACTGATGGGAGTTGTAGTCCAACAACACCCCTGGTCTAGGAGCAGCACTTGTTGAGCTGTAACAGTCTGTTGCCCACTTCTGGGGCTTGGGCACATTTGCAAATAATAAAAACCAAAAACCTGTTGTGAGCCTCACACACACAAACATCACAACCTATTATATTGGCAACAATGGAAAGCTTCTTTCAAGCCTAATTTTTGGTTTATAGTAAAAGAGAACTCTGTGTGCGCTATAGAAGGTATCCACAGTCACACAGGAGCCCATGGGTGCCATGTTCGCAACTCCTTTTTAGAGGCCATGGTTTACTCTGAGGGCCAGGAACAGAGAATCTGTGGCCCTCAAGATACTGGACTATAGAGCATATCACCCCTGACCTTTATGCTAAACTGGCTGATGGGAGCTGGACCCCCAAATGGATGGAGAGCAACAGGCTCCTCATCCCTGATACGGGCACACAACAGTGTGCAGGGGATTGTGGGATTGGGAAACAAGCCATTTCTTTCCACCCAGTCCAACATAAGCAACCCCTTGTTATCCACCCTACTTGCTTTATACTGGCATTGCAGAGGTTGCAGGGTGTCAGAGGTTTGATGGACAGGCAATGTGCCTCTCTTCCAAGCTGCCAAGTGGCTTCTCCCTAACCCCCGCAGAGCTCCACTGAACTTGTGTCCCACTTCCAAGAGAGTTTATGTAACAGACAGAGCCCCGGGCATCACTTGTCAAATTACATGCTCAGCATGAGGCTGCTGTTTTAAGGAAGGTTCCTCTTGAATAAACAATCTGGAAAATGCAGCCCTTGTCATTTAACTTGAGACCGTGTGTGTGTGTGTGTGTGTGTGTGTGTGTGTGTGTCTAAAAATAGAATAATGGAAGCCTCCATTTGACTTGAGGAATAGAGACTCTATTTAACACTATAATTTGCACACTGGAGGAGGTGCCTACCTAAAATAACAAATACTTACGCAGCCATACCTAGAGAGCAGTTTGCTCAGCACCCAGCAATTAACATCCTCATCCTGATTGGGCCTTTTGGCTGGGACACTTATGCCAACCACAAAATACTATTTGCCACTGGAAATTCCACATGTGAAAAATTAAAATCAGTTAATTTTGTCAAGATGCAGTGCAACCCCTTTTCTAGAAAAGTATCGTATTTTTACAGTGCATTGGAATATTTCAGTAATAATAATAATAATAATCTATTATTTATACCCCGCTCATCTGGAAGCACGTGTAGGAAACACGTGTCACATGCTAAAAGAAAAGTTACTTCAGATATTCTCTTAAATAAACCATAAAGTGCTTTTCTTCCACCACCTTATTATATACTAAAAACAGAATTTCATGTAGAATTATGTTCATAATTCAAGAGCTCAGAGGGAGCTAACAAGAAGAATGTCTGGTTTTCTGTTCCGTTGAAGGGAATGGATTCTTCAACTGCAACAGAGTGTTCATAGCTGTGAAACAGTATGATGGCTGTAGCATCCATCTCTAATGCAGTAGCACAGGACAAAGTAGGGTTGATGTGCTCTGTTACAGTCTGACCCTAAGCACATTCACCCAGAACTAAGTCCTACTGAGTTCAATAGGGTTTACTCCCAAGAGGAGGGCAGCCTTATGCTGCAATCCTGTATACACTTGAGTAAGGGCCACTAACTCAGTAGGACTACATTCTGAGTAAATGTGCAGTATTGCTGAGTAACAGCAATAAATTGCTGTTATTTAATACTAATAGATAGATAGATGATAGATAGATGATAGATAGATGATAGATAAATGATAGATGATAGATAGATAGATAGATAGATGATATAGATAGATAGATAGATAGATAGATGATAGATAGATAGATAGATAGATGATAGATAGATAGATAGATAGATAGATAGATAGATAGATAGATATAGATAGATATAGATAGATAGATGATAGATAGATGATAGATAGATATAGATAGATAGATATAGATGTAAAATCTGCAACCTTCTGAGATCACTATGAGATTCTTTCACTGAAAGCTTATCTTTAGAATTATTTAAATTAGAATGTTACCATGGACACATGTCCTCTGCTTGCACTAGATTCTTTGCTCAGAGGTAAACCTAGGACAGTCCCAAATACTGTATAATTTGGCCTTCATGGAGAATGCGGTGGATAATGGCCTTTACTACAGAGCTATGAAATGCCTGTGACTTGGACCTGCTTCATATAATCAGAGATGGAGAAATACTGTACACCGTGAGGTCATCTTTGTGCATGCAATGTAACATAACATCAGATGTTGCAGCAGCCAGCCAGCCAGCCACACAATGTGTTCATTCACTTCACTGCTTCTGTCCCTGAGGCGAAATGGTGTCTCCTGTTTAGGCATTGGTACAGTCACTCATCCAGCATTTCCCCCCCTTCTTTGCTGTGGAGGTGGCAAGGGGTGGGGGGAGTGAATTTAGCAGGACTCCTCCTCTCCAGTGACTTATGGTGTTTTGTGTTAGGCTAGACATAAGGCAACACCTCCCACTTCTTCATCGATAAAGAACTAAGGGGGAAAGTGCCCAAGAAATGGTTTATCATGGGAAGGGGGAGCAGGGTAGACACCACACAGCTTAACTCAGAACGAAAAGGTGAAATCCTCTAGAGAAAGAGTAGGAAAAGGAATTTCCTGCTGGAAAGATATGCAGCCCAGATCCACAATGCATTAGTTATCGACAAGGTTAGGGCTATATCCTGACTGTTGCTGGAATGAAGGGGGAAAGTATTGTCAAATATCTCTGTTGCTCTTCGTTAGGAGTGCAGGGTTCACAACCCCAAAATGCAAAGCAGGACTTAACATGTGAGCAACCACCCCAGTGGGGCACTTAACTCGCAAGCTCGGGAGGGAAAGCCTTCAGCCTGCTGCATTATGACCTTTCCTTTCAAATGGATTCCCTGGGGTGGAGGGAAGCTGCAGCTCGTGGCATGAAGGGGCAGATGCATAAAACACTAAAGGAGCACTTGCTTCATTTAAACTAATAATAATAATAATAATAATAATAATAATAATAATAAATCCCTCATTTGGTTTTCACTTTGGGATTAGGTACAGACAGCAGCAGCTGTTTCCAAAGCGTTTTGTTTTTTTTAAAGGAATATCATTTGGTTCAAATGTATTTTGTACACAACTATCATTTCTTTCTGCCAAAGAATCTAATAATTGCAGCGGGGGGTGGTTAGCAAGGGGAAACCCTGAGAGAAAAAGGTACCTAGAGGTTTCCAGGTTTCTTTATGTAGTGGAAATTACTTAAATTACTTATGATGTTGATAAACTCCCAGGAGTAGATTTGGATAACTATTTATAGCTTGTAAATTCACTCGAAGGCAACTGAAACTATCTAAACGGGGGGGGGGGGGGGAGTCAACATGGCACACCCCAAATGTCACTGGACTACAACTCCTATAATCTTGGACCACCAGCCATGTTGAATGAGGCTGATGTGGGAGTCAGAATCCAACAACATCCACAGGGCACCATGTTGGCTAGCCCTGGCGAAGACAGTGTGTAAAATACAGCCATGCACGTCTCCTGAGAGCTGATTGGACAAGTACAGAAAAGGCCACCTCCTTTTGTGTGGCCAAATGGTGCACAGGCCCAGTATAAAACACTCAAGGAAAATCAATCTGCAGTTTTATATGCACTACACTGAGATGATGGACCACTTATAAACTCCATCTCCAACTCCTCGAAGGATTCCATTAATGGTGTCTCTGAAAATTTTTGTACATCACTTGGGAAGACTGGGGGACGAATGCCAGTGTACTGGAAGAAGCAAAGATCACCAGTATTGAAGCAATGATTCTTCAACATCAACTTTGTTGGACTGGTCATGTTGTTTGGATGCCTGATTATTGTCTGCCAAAGCAGCTACTCGATTCTGAACTTAAAAATAGAAAGCGTAATGCTGGTGGTCAAGAAAAGAGGTTTAAAGACTGTCTCAAGAGAAATCTTTAAAAAATGTAGTATAAACACCGACAACTGCGAAACACTGGCATGCGAGTGCTCCAGTTAGAGAACAGCCTTTACCAAAGGTGTCATGGGCTTTGAAGACACTCGAACTCAGGACAAAAGGGGGAAATGTGCTACGAGGAAGGCATGTTTGGCGAACCCTCACTGTGATAAACTCCCACCCAGAAACCTATGTCTCCACTGTGGAAGGACGTGTGGATCCAGAATTGGCCTCCACAATCATGGACTCACTGTTAAGACCATGCTCCATGGAAGACAATCTTACTCAGCTACAAGTGATTGCTGAGGAAGAAGAGGAAGAGGAAGAGGAAGAGGAAGAGGAAGAGGAAGAGGAAGAAGAAGAAGAAGAAGAAGAAGAAGAAGAAGAAGAAGAAGAAGGGTGAGATCATATCCTGTACTGTGCTGAGTTTGTGTGCCTTTATATATAGACACACACACAGCCATTCTGCACACAGGCAATGAATCTGAAAGCAAACCAGACATCCCAAGTTGCCTATGATACAGCAGTACCAAAGAACTCTACCAGTGCCAGTACTTGAAAGACATTTCAGGTTCTCACGGCATGCAAAGCTGCCATGTCAGGAAGAAAGCTAAGGCAGAATCTTTATGGGGGTGAGGGTGGGTGGTAGCAACTGCCTTGCACGCTGATATAGTCCCACATTCAATCCCCAGCATCTTCAGCTGGAGCTGAAAGTGTCTCCTGTCTGAAATCCTTGCAAGCCGCTGACTTGCTACAAGGCAGCCTTCTCTAATCCTAGGACTACATCTCCCAGACATGGCAAAGCTTTGCATAGTCAGGGAGAGCTTAAATCTGAGGAGTTTTCAAGTAAGCAACTCGTTTGCTCTCCTGCACATGGGTACTGTTGCTGGTTTGTCGCTCAGTAATCAGTTCCACTTAGGAAGAGGTAGGCCCTAGAATGTAGAAACATGGCGGAACTGATACTAAACATTTATGGGTCCAATTCAGTCAACACAGGGCACTTTTAACTCAATAGGACTTCCTCCTGGCTGCAGTGTAAAAAGGGTTTGATTGGATGGCATTGTTTATTTGCAACATATCAATCAATACGCCCCATCTTCCTTGAATGAAGTTGGCACTTCGTCATTCAGATAGTACTGGTTTATACTGCCCAATGAATCACTGGGAATTATACAGAGCATTAAGAAATTATATTATTGATTACTACATCAAGATCTGGAAATAGTTCCTACTCTTGTATGTTTTCTTCTCCAGGAATAAAAATGCAAAAGATGTTGATGTATTTAGTTTCTGACCATAGCTCTAGCACTAATTTATAGGTCTCTGCCCCGCAGAACATACAGTAGGGGGAAAGGAGAGTAACAGGAGAGGTGCAGATACTGTCATATGTATGTAGGCTACAATCCTATCTGCTTCCCTGGGTGGAAATTCCATTGAATTATATGGGGCTTGCTTCAGAATAGAGATGCATAGGATTATGCACTGTTAGGCTTCCTGTCAGTACAACATGAGACTCCTCTAAGTCGTGGGACATTGAGCAAAAGATTCCTGCATTGCAGGGGGTTGGACTACAGCTGGACTAACTAGGCAAATGCATTTTTGAGGAGGAATTTCGAGTTGAAAGAAAAAGAAGCAGAACCATGTAAGTGCAATGTATAAGGAGCAAGGAGAGCATGAGCTGAAGCCAACTAAATCAAACGCAGAGCAGACCCACTGAAATCACTGGACCTGATTTGAATGGGTGATTCTGAGCATGATTTAGTTGGCTACAGCACCATGTTTAGTACAAACTTGGGGAGTGGAGGGTGGGGAATAAAAGTGTTTCCTTTTGTAAGGTTGCAATCCTGCACACACTTGCTAAAGAATAAGCCCCACTGGTTTTAGTTATGGTGAAATATGCACTGGGTTGCTTTGTACATTCTAAGTCAGAAGGAAAGGACTTTAATATGAATCAGTCTTCTCTCTTGCAAATGCCCACCCAGCAGCTGAAGATCTCAGCTTTGGAACAATGCTGACAAATCCCTGAGTATTCCAACAGGCCTCTAAGAAAAAAAGCAGAAATATTGGGGATGGACGGGACCTGCAGATATGAAGTTGAAGCTCCCAGCCTGGGTTTAAGCTCAGGAGAGAGGACAAGATAATATGCCTGTGCATATGACGGAGAGCATGCCCAGTGCAGCCGCGGTGTCTCACTGTACAGGCTAAGCAGCGAAGTGGATTAATCGGGATTGTGGGAAAGCGGGCGGGGATGGGGGAGCATGATGAGAACTGACATAATTCCACATCTCCATTGCCACACACATTCCGCTTGTTGTCCTGGCTGCATCTCTTTCTCTCCCGTTCCCCACCCCCTTCGACACATGTAACAACCCTGCTGCTGAATTAACTGTTGCATTATGTGCGAGGAGACACCGGAGAAGCAATTCCTCCGGAGGGAGCCAGGAAATGTCAAGCGCGCGCGCGCCTTTCCTGCATCTCTCTCCACGCCACCCACCCGCGAGGCGAGATCTTTCGCGCAAAGTGCGTAATAACAGGCATGTTTCCAAAAACCGCGATGAACATTAAGTTCATCATGCCTGCTGCTGCGTCTGTTTCGTTGCAGACCTCGCCGCCGGCCTTCGAGAGGGGCGTTCATCTTCCCCCGTTTCCCACTCCGCAAGCAACCAGCGCAAAATCCATGCCTAGTGCAAAAAAAGGGGGGCGGCGGAAAGGGAGAAGGGAAACGCTGCGCATAGCTGTAGGAGTGCACAGGCCGCTCGCAATTACGCACGCCAAATAACAGCAGGAGAAAGAGCAGCGGGAACGAAGGGCTCCAAAGCCACTAACCTCAGCTTGGGCTAGGCAGGCAGGCAGGCTTCTCCAAAGCAGATTTCCCTCGCAGGAGCGAGGACAAATCTCGGTCCGTTCCAACCTTTATCCTCGGCGCCACCTCCCCTAGAGCACAAGAAGGAAGCCTCGGTCGGTGCCAAGCGCCGCCAAATCGCGCCTTCTTCACTCCAGCGCAGCCAGGAACACGTCTGGCCGAGCCTTGCAGTGCAGCGCCGCTTCTGCGGGAAACATCCCTCGTTCAGACTGAGCCGCTTGGGGGATTTAAACGGGCAAGGCTCCCTAGTGGTCGTCGTCGTCGTCACCGCCACTACCTCCGCCACTTCTGGGCGCCGGGAAAGGGGAGTGTCCTCGCTGCTTCCCGCGTGGCGAGGAGCCGCATCGCGCCGTCGTCTCCGCGCACCGCGGGCAGGCGGAGTTTGGGCAGGCGGAGCGCGCACTCCCGCGCTAGGGTCTGCAACCCGCGCGGCGCTCTGCAGGCTCCTTGGCTGGCGCGTTGCAGGTCGGAGGCTGGGATCCTGCACCAAGGGTTGGAGGAAGAATTCCTTTGTTTTGAGGCCGTTTCTCTTTACCGCGTTCGTCTCCGCGGCGCGCACGCAGAGCAGCCTGCCAAGGGCGCCGGAGCCTCGCCATGCGCGGTCCTGGTGTGGGTCACGTAACGTTGCGCGCCGGGCGGATGACCCTTTGTTTATCCCCGCCCGCCGTCGCCCTGTTAAACATTCCTCTGGGTTTGCTGAGAAAGTGCCACAGGGCTCAATGGGGCTTACGCCCGTGTAAATCTACATAGAACTGGGTGCACCCTTAAATATTTGTTCAGTAGCTTTAAAAAAAGAAAGCAAGAAATCAGCCTCAAGTAAAACTGGCCTCCTCGCCCACACCCTTTTTGCTTTAGTACTTGAGAAAAGCAAATATTGCAAACTTGTTGCTGCCCACGCTGCAAAATAGCAGCTACTTGTCACCCAGTGACACAATCCGAAACGCTTTGGCTTTAAACCTGTGGCTGGCACTCTTACTTAACCTTTTAACAGGACAGAAAAGATGGGGTGGGGTGGAGGGTTTATAGCCCCTGCTGTTTGCTGACCTAACGTGCCCCTGCGCGTTGTCGCAAATCCCATTATTTGGAGGAGCTTCTTTTGTTCAGAGCGAAGAGGACAAACCCTGAGACAGCTTCCATACTGGCTACATATACAGGGTGGCTCCGTGCGCTAGGAAGGCAAATCAAAAGCAAACCCCGCAAAGGGGAAGTGATTGGCATTGTTTGACATGGAACGACAATAGGTAGGGAGGAAATAGGAAATGTCGCAGCAGATCAAAGCATGCCGCTCATCACTGAGCATTGCCACAAATGCTAACCGGGCATCTTTGCTCCTGGAGTCTATCATGCAGAGCGGCAACCCATCAAGGAAAGGCAAATCGAATTACCACTCACAACAGGGAATAACAGGTGAATTTGGGGGGAAGTGTGGGTAGGCATACAAGGAATTATATTTTTATTCAATGCTTCTTTTTCTTTTCAAAGATAAAAGTTTAATACAAACCAAATGGCAAGAGAAAGCCCATTTACACATGCCTGCACAACACTTAGGAGCACATAACAAACTGCAGCTAAATGTACTGATGCCACTAAAAAGCCTTGCATTTGGGAGACGTCATAGAATTGTAGAGTTGGAAGGGACCCTGAGGATCATCTAGTGCAACCTCACTGCAATGCAGGAATATGCTGCTGTCCCATACAGGAATTGAACCTGCAGCCTTGGCAATTTCAGCACCATGTTCTAACCAACTGAGCTATCCAGAAGACATGCTGATGAAAGTTCTTGTTTGTGTTTGATGTATGAGGGCTCATTCACAAATACAGTCCTCAAGTGACAATAGGTGTGCATGCATAAAGGAGTCTGCATTCCTCTGTAGCAGTCTATGGACTGGAATGGAAGCAACTAAGAAAGACTTGGTGCAATAGCCAATAGGCAGGATAAATGCTGAACAAGCAGACCAGAGACAATAAGAACACACACACACACACTCCATAATATTAGAAAGTATTGAAACAGGGGCACTGGAGGCATTGTAGATGTTATTGGACTATCCATGCCACATGACTTTAAAATGATATCAACCGAAGAACCGGAGAGTGCTCCAATATTAGGGCTGTATAAAGTGATGGATGCCTTCCACATTCTCCTTTCCAGTCTCTTGCTACCTTGTAGCAGGCCTGTTGTTGTCATGTGAATCGGTGCCTACCTGCAAGACCATGCCCAACCATGGCATGTCATTCCCATCACTATCAATTGCCTTTCCTCATTCATCCACTGTACACAGATTGGTTGTCAGTTTGCTTAGTAGGTTCTCGGGCAAAAAGCAGCAAACAACAGATGATAGCCCAGAAGACATTCCTTGTAGGTGGGTATAGGGAGGTTATGAAAACAAGGAGAAATAGAACTTGAACTTTATCAACAAAGCCACCTCTGTGCATTCTTCCTACCCACAGTTCTTTCCATTATGCCCCTGTCATTTCTGGTTGCATGTCATATGTTAAGCATCCCACATGCTACTTAAATCTTGGTCTTCCTTCTCCATGTATAGATTTAACACTTGGGGGATGAGCCTGTGAAGCCCTTCAGATGTGGCTGGATTCCAACTCACATCAGCCCCAGCAATATCACCAGGGACCAGCCAGTATGGTCAGTTCTAGTGGGTCATGCCTTGATATCATTTTAAAGTCAGACCGTTCAGTCCTCTTGCTTGATCTTCTATAGAGCAGAAGCTCAGTCTAAAGTAAAACATTAGCCAGCATTTATTTTTAAACCAAGTAGTCAAGATAGCACACACGTTCACAAACACCCACTCACATTATATAAAACATTTGGAGTTTACACACCTGATTTTCTCCATTTCCCCCAAGTCACCCTACAATAAAATACTGGGTGATGGGAAGCACGAAACATGCATTCGGATGAGACATCAACATCTGTTCTACAACCTGATTTTTAGCTTTGGTGAACTCACATTGACCCATCTGACTCGTGGAGCCTTCCAACCCAAGCTGGAAGGAGTAGTGTTCAGGGGTGGAGGGAGAGATGAGAAGAGCCACGGGTCTTTTTATATACAGTAGTGCTGTGCTGAAATCTGTCCTCCAGTTTTTTTCCTCCGGGAAGAGAGGCTTTCATTTTCCTGACTCATTCTCATGGTGTTACAGAATTTCAGTGAGTGCAGGGATGCTCGATTATCATTGCAAAGTGGCCGTGGGTTGGCTTGTTTGTCTTCTCTTTGCAGCCAACATTCCTCAAAGCCTTCCACAACCTCTCCCAGCTACCCTTCAGCTCAACACCCTTTAACCACTTTCCTTCCCAATGCCCTGGTTCTTTTCCTCCTCTGGATGCCTTGCCTTTATTTATTTTTTATTTAACCCTCCCCCACTATTCAGAAGGAGGGGAGTTTGTTGTATTGTCTATTGAAACTTATTTGCACTCGTTAAAGGTTGCAATCCATTCCATTCCAATCAGAAGGTTGGTGGTCTGAATCCCCATGACGGGGTGAGCTCCTGTTGCTTGGTCCCTGCTCCTGCCAACCTAGCAGTTTGAAAGCACGAAGTGCAAGTAGATAAATAGGTACCACTCCCGCGGGAAGGTAAACAGCATTTCTGTGCACTGCTCTGGTTTGCCAGAAGTGGCTTAGTCATGCTGGCCACATGACCTGAAAGCTGTATGCCGGCTCCCTCGGCCGATAAAGCGAGATGAGCGCCGCAACCCCAGAGTCGTCCGCGACTGGACCCAATGGTCAGGGGTCCCTTTACCTTTACCCATGCACAGGATTGTATGCCATTAATTTTCAATGCCGCCATTTGAAGTAGAGCCAACTGAAGTAGTTTGGGAGAAAGTTTTTAGTGTAAGAAAATGGACATACAGTAGCTAGTATCTAATATAATTAGAACGAAGCTAGTATACAGTCATACCTTGGATTCCGAACACCTTGTGAGTCGAACGTTTTGCCTCCCGAACACTGAAAACCCAGGAGTGTGTGTTCTGGTTTGTGAACGTTCTTTGGAACCCGAACGTCCAATTTGACTTCTGTGGCTTCTGATTGGCTGCAGGAGCCACGTTTTCATTCCCATTCGACTTCTGAGGTACGACTGTACATTAATTAGCACTGATAAACTGTGACTATAATCCTTTTGATTTCAATAGGGAAAGACTAAGCCCATATTTCATTCTGCGGACATCAGTGTGACTTGAAGGCAAATGGAATTGTGCTCTATACTATTAATATATTTCACTATATACTATCTATAAACAACAATGAAACCTCATGTCATCATGTGATCTGAAGGCCGTCACCTGTAGCACTTCCATAGGATGTGGATAGAATGTATTGTTGCATGCCAGCCCAAACTCTGTGCGGTGCAAGATCCCCAGGGTTCAAGGAGTTTACCCAGGGTTCGGTTTCCTTGGAATGAGGGACAGTAGAGACTGTGCTGTCTTTATGATATATGGTTCATTTACACATATATACAACCTGGGCCTATGATGGAAGGGCTCACAGCATCAACACCCCAAGAGGGCCTTGCTTCTCCCAGCAGAAATCAGGCACTGCTCTGTCTCCCAGCTGCCCAGCCTACAACCTTGCTTTTAGCTTCTACCTCACCCCTCCACTCTGGCCTTTGCCTTTCCAACTACCAGTAAGTTGAGGGAGGGGCGCCCACCCATTTTCTATCTGGCTCAGAACCACTTCCTTTGTTACCTTAATGGTCCATACTTAGAGGGCCATTACCCCACAGGAAGCTAGCCTGGTTATTCCAGGAATTAAATCCATGCTGGATCCAGGAATTTGAGGGGGGGGGGGCTCAGGCATACAGCCTGCCCGTCCCTCAAAAAAAAAAAATCACAACAGCATAATAGAAACCTAATTCTGAATATTCTGGTTCACATACTCATACATGGAGGTGTCTCACAGCAGTCCCTAAAAATTCCAAATCTGCACACTGTCCCAAAATGGTTAGCAACACCCCCCTCCCACCACCAGCATAACCTATGAAATTATTCTGAAAGAAAATGCATGAGGACATGGAGCAGCACAAAATGGCGGCCACACCTAAAAGAGTAGGGAAAGAAACAGGACCACAAAATCATGTGGTCCTCACAGCTAACCCAACAATGGAGGAGAAAGGCGCCTACAACAGCCACTGCTGCTCAGAGAAAGAAGCCTCTTTGCACTTCAGAATGGGAGGGTGTCCAATCCTGGCATCCAATGAAATATGGGCATATCGGCAGGGTGTGTGTTTTCAATGGAGGAGATGCCAGGTCTGCACAAACAGGAACTGAGCAGAAAGAACGTTGTCTTCTGCACCATGGATTTTTGAGGTAATAATAATAATAATAATAAATTTTATTTATACCCCGCCCTCCAGGGCCAGGGCCGGGCTGAGGGCAGCTAACACCAAATATAAATTACAATAAAACGTAATAGGGGGAAAACAAGCAAACAAACAAACAAAAACAGTTAATTAAAATATGGCTTAAAATACAGGTTAAAATGCAGCCTCATTTTAGTAGTAGCCCATAAATCAAGACCATAAAGGGAGGAAACACCTGAGCCAGCTATCCATGCTGGTCCTACTTGGGCCAGCAAAAAAGCCAAGGGAAAATTTATATACCAAATCCCATTTAAGGGGTCAGAGTGAGTCTAAGCCAAAGGCATTTACTGAGACATTTGATGTGCACCATAGAATATGGGTATCATGCTGGCATCCCAATATATGACATGTCTCCTCTCCTGGCTTATTAGCACAATTTTACACAGCCCATCAGCCATGGATCCAGCCTACCAGGTTACTTGACCGATTCCATGTTTGCAGCCCCAGGCTCAAAGGATCCTCACGAGGCTTGTTTATCTTCCCGGCTGTGTAAATGCTTTGAAAAAGAGGGAGGGTGGTGTTATTATGCATTTGTTAGGGCTGCTATCCAAAACCAGGATGGGCTATTTGGGAACCATGTGGCAAAATATTATTGCAAAAGTGCCACACTGTTATCAAGTTATGGGAGAATCACAGCACCTCCATGCTTCCCAAGTAATGATGTGCACTGTAAACAATAAGCAACTGAAGCACCAATGCATTAAAATAAATGGCTTGGAATATATATTTTTTGTGGACACTGTCAGCCAGAACTACCCTTTGGTAGGCTTTTAACTCATAAAAGAAGAAAGGTTAATACAGTTTTGAGGAATGGTTTATTCACAGTTTTCTTTATGAAATATTTTTTTCTGAGTTTATTGTAGACATAAATACAAATCTTATGGCTCAGGTTATAACACATACTGTTAGATGTTAGAAAATATTTAATGTGGTATAGTGGTTGCACACTCTTCCCTTCCTCCTTTTTTTCCCTTAGGATTTTTGCACTTGCAAGTGGAAGCCGAAGCAAAATCTGGTCCACCTAGCAACACGTTTATTTTTATATATGCCCGTTTACTCTAGAAGTACATTACCACTGGTGTGCACCCAACACTGAAGCAATATAGCACAAAGTTTGCAATATATCGCAAAGCAAATGTATCTTGCACTTAGTTACTTGTTAGCATTTTTATCTATATACAATTACATAAGATACTTTAAAGCTGTTCTTTGCCATACTACCTAGCAGCGCAAATGTCTTTCAGAAGATTTGCAGAAGTCTGTGTTTGGCAGCAGTCAGTGGCTGGGATCCAGAGAGACAGCCTAGCGGAATCTGCAACTTTTTATCCTTTGAGCAGGTGAGCCCAAGGCCACAGCACAAACTTATTTTTAAAAGTCCCTTCAGTTTCAAA